AATTTTTTTTTTTTTTTTTTTTTTTTAGGAAACATCGTGTATTTTTTGAGAAATAAAATTCAAAGTAACACAATAGTGTACTAATTCTGAAATTACCCATTAAATTATAACAATGCCATATTATTTATTCTTATCCATGCGTTCAACATTATGATATATCAATTTTAATATATATTAATTTTAATATTAACATTATATATAATTAGTGGGATCATGACACTTCTTGTCTCTATATATTTTTTAAAAATTAAAAATAAAATAAAAATTGAGATTAAATTATAAAAGTAGTTAAGGAATAAAAATACTAATGTGGATAGTTTATTAAAAGAGAATAGTGGTAACTAAAAATATTATTATTTTTATTTTTATTTTTTTAATAATAAAAAGATATAATGATTTACCAAATGTGGTTACTAAAAGAGATATATCATTTATATATTGGTATAAATTAATAATTAATTAAAATATTTACAAATTATTTATGCTATAAGTGTGATCTTGTCATCGAAGCACTCAAACGCTCTCTCTTTGAATGTTTCGCCCACAAATGTGATCTCCTCAACGGAGTATTCAAATGTTCTCTCTTTCTCCTAAGTTTCTTTCTTTCTTGAATGGAAAAATGTGTTTCCCCTATAGGTGTCCCTTTGTTTTTAACCTAGTCATCCATCTTCTCTCCTGATTTTTTGGCCTATCTCTTTATTGTGATTTAAGTGTCTTTTTGTTATGCTTGTCATCCTTGGGTTCCGCATATCCTAGACATTTTATCTTATCAAGTAGTGGGTATTTGATATCTTTTATCTTGTATTTTTAGTCGAGTCATCGTGATTGGTGAACTAGGTTGGTTAGTTTCCTTATCTTTTTACTTAACACAAAATCGTCTTTTGACTTAACAATTTCCTTTTTTTATAGTGACAAACATTCTTTTAAAAAACTGATTTTCTTTTATGTTTGAAAGATATTTTCTTTTGATAGGACAAAATGGGTTTTCATTTTTCGAAGAAAAGGTTTAGATTTATGAGATATACTTAATTAAAAGATTATCATATATTGATGTGAAATATATATCTAAGATTTTGAAGAGAAATCATATGAGCAAATTTGATTAAAATCTAATATTTTTCTTATGACATATGATTCATCATATTTTCTTAGTCTTATCAATCAAATGATATGGCATTTGACAAACCAAGATATCGTAACATTTATCCAAACTATATATCAGAGCATTTAAAGCATACAATTTGTGAACATATTAAGCATATATGTATATCATAGCATATCTGTTTATGTCCAAGCATTTTCTTAAGAAAAGTGAAAATGTTCAGATAAGAGCTTAAACAGATTTATTCGAACTTGTTTGATCTTTCAAAAAACTTGGTTTTATCTTGATTTTAATCAATATATTCAAATGATTAGAGCATTTATAAGATGTTTTAGACTAAATACAATACAAAGGGGACTCTCCTTGAAAACATGCATGATGAGAATGTTAGAGCATTCACAAAACAAGTATTAAAGCTTAAGAGATTTCATTATCAACCATTCTAAACATAATGTCAAAACTAAAAAATATGTCAACAATAGAATATTGAATCTAAAGAAATATATTTCATTTAAACAACATATCAAATAGAGTTAAGTAGAAGAAATAAATGGAGAAAATAAAACAATTTTTTAAAAAAAAAACATTTCTTCTTCTTCTTCTCCCCTTTTTGTCACTGGCAAAAGCTAGACTAGGCTAGTTACTCCCACTTTCGTGTTCGTCTTCCTCTTTTCACGGCGTAAGAGGAGAAGGTGGAGTGGATGGTGTGGTTGATGAAAATGGGTCAGAGATGAATATTTACTCATGAAAATTGTGTTAGTATGAGTCCAAGTACTATAGTACACACCTTGCCCTGTCCTAAACTTGCTATATATTAATATAATTAAATAGATAATATATATATATATATATATATGAAAACTAATTATATTTTTACCTAAATAAACATATTTATGACTTAAGTTTGAACAAAGCAATGTTATATTTGTTCATTTTTAATATTATGTGTGTTTGCTTTTAAGATTATATCTGGATTATTTAAGAATGAATTTTTAATATAATTATAGCATTTATCTTAATTATTTTTTTTATTGGTATTCACCCACCATAAACTTTACTTCCTTTACAAATTGACATCCTAAACTTTAATTTTATCCTAATCAATCATTAAATTTATCCCATTTGTAAATAGATATTGTACCGTTAGGTCGGTAGATTCCCGAGCTAACCTCACATTCGGATAAAGCTCGGTCGGAATCTAACCTGGATCCGAGCTCAGGACAATTAAAGCCCTTACGCCTTATAGGCTTAGGGCTGGAAGGCAAGTGTACTGTCCTAGTCGGATTCTGACCGGGACCCTTATCATCCTACCAGCCGACTACCAACCTGGCTGATTCACTCTCTCAGACTTACTCGGTATATATCCGACTGGGTAGGCGACATCGGTCAGATGCCGACCTCACTCACCTAAAAGAGTTTACTCGGCCATTATCCGATTAAACACTCAATAGGAGGCTAGTCGGTCGATGGCTGATCCCACCTTCGCATGAAGAGGCTTTCCGACAGTAAGGACAAGGTCCCACTGTCTCTCACCAAATATTTTCCAGATTAGAACGGTTAAGGAAATCCCTATATTCTCGGGGCCCATGAGGCCCGTAAACAAGAAACTATAAAACTAAAAACCCTAGAGTTAAGAAGGCAGATTACACTTTTGAATGCTCTGACTTTGAGGCTTGACCTAGGCAGAAACCCTAGTCCACCCTTTGGCCGGAACATTTTGGCGCCCACCGTGGGGCTACGGTGAAACTTCTCCTGCGCCCCAAGTAATATAGAAGAACCTGTACTTTACTATGGCGAGAGGCGGCAACCCAAACCACGACCCACAACACCCTACCATGGAGGAGATGATGGCCATGATCAATGGTCTGAGGGAGGAGAATGCATGATCCAAAGAAAGGGAAGAGGCCATCCAGCGAGAAAATGAGGAGATCAGGAGGCGAGCGGACGAGATGCAGGCCAGAATAGCGGCCAGCACCAGGACGGTGGAGGAAGACATCATGATGGAAGTCCCTAGGGATTTTTGACCTTTCTCGGAAGCCATAGAGGCTGAGATCATCCCCAGGGATCATCGGATACCCCAAGTCGTGCCTTTTGATGGAACGTAGGATCCTAGTCAGCATTTGACGGATTTCCGAGCTCAAATGTTGATTTGCGGAGGGAGCATGGAAGTCCGCTGCAAACTGTTCATGGGCATACTCAAAAAGGCAGCACTCGATTGGTTTAGTGGTCTCCCTGACCGATCAATCACCGACTTCGATGTCTTTAGTCGGCTCCTCATGGCCCAATTCGCCGCTAACAAGAAGAAACCACCAATCACGTCGGACTTGTTCGACCTCAAGCAGCAGCGCGAGGAGTCTCTGAAGGACTTCCTACAAAGGTTCAACGAGGTCGCCTTGAGGATAGCGTCGTTGGATGAAAGGATGGCTGTCATTGCATTCCAGAAGGGCCTGAGGTCTAGAGCTTTCGACATCGCGCTGGAGAGAGCGAATTGCCAGACGATGTCAGAGGTGAGAGCCTTTGCACTGAGTCACATTAAGACGGAGGAAGGGCAGATTAGCAAAAGAGCAGCGGAAAGCCGAGAAGTAGGGGCAACAATAAGGAGGGAAATAAGCATCTCCGACCGCGATCGGATTGGAGTAAACGACGCGACCGTTACAACATGAAGGAGGGCAATTATCGACAGGCTGATCATGGTGGTCGGGCAAGGGGCGAGTGGACACGCAACAATGACGAAGAGAAGTTTACTCCACTCAATGTTCCCAGGAGACAGATACTTCATGATGTCAACAGCGCGTCGTTGTTCGAATTTCTAGCAGCGATGGAACGTCAATTGGGACCCTTTAAGACTGATTGGTGCGAGTTCCATAGAGCTCATGGACACTCCACTGAAAATTGCTTCGTCCTAGGGAGGCAGATTGAGCGTTTGATCAAAGAGGGGCAACTAAAAAAGTTCGTGGCAAGAAAGCAGGAAGAAGGTTCATCGGAGAGGCGACGTAAACACATAGAAAGTGGCTCAAGGAGAGAACGATACAGAGAAAGGTCTCCCCCCAGGGACCCGCCATCAAAGGTGTCAGAGGCCCACCAGCAACCCATCCACGGGGATTTCAATACCGTCGCAGGGGGTTTCGCCGGCGGGGGAGTTACCTCAACTGCCTGAAAGAGGTACACTCATTCGGTGCTGACATTATCGAAATTCTGGCGACCATCTCAGCCTGAGATTTCGTTCTCGGAGTCAGACTATGAAGGAGAATGTGTATAGATTTCACTGATTTAAATAAAGCGTGCCCAAAAGATTCGTACCATTTGCCGAATATAGATTGCCTGGTTGATGGCGCGTCGGGGTATGAACTGTTAAGTTTCATGGATGCGTACTCGTGTTACAATCAGATCCGAATGCACCCGGCAGACGAGGACAAAACTGCATTCATCACCGATCAAGCCAATTACTGCTACAAGGTCATGCCCTTTGGCTTGAAGAACGCAGGCGCAACGTATCAGCGTTTGATGGACAAAGTATTGGTGAACCAGCTGGGTAGGAACGTGGAAGCTTATGTGAATGACATGGTGGTGAAATCAATGAGTCTGAATCGGCATTTGGATGATCTGCAGGAATTATTTGAGACCATAGGCAAGTATTAGCTCAAGTTGAACCCCGAAAAATGTTCTTTTGGGGTCCAAGCGGGAAAGTTCCTTGGTTTCCTGCTAACTCATCGTGGCATTGAAGCAAACTCCGATAAGTGCTCGACGATCATCAATATGAGGAGTCCAGCAACGGTGAAGGAGGTGTAACAACTTGCAGGACGAATGGCATCTTTGTCGCGTTTCCTTTCAAAGGCAGCTGACAAGGCCCTCCCGCTTTTTCAATGCTTAAGGAAGAATGATCGTTTTACCTGGACGACCGAGTGTGAGGAGGCTTTCATGGAGCTAAAGAAGTCGCTTGCATCGCCACCAATCTTGACGAAACCATGGTCGAATATCCCTTTATTGGTTTACATATCGGCGTCTGACCGAGCTGTCAGTGCAATTTTAGTCCAAGAGCAAGAAGGCTCTCAAGTTCTTGTGTATTTCGTGAGTCGGGTGCTACAGGGAGCGGAAGTGAGGTATCAGAAGATTGAGAAATTGGCTCTTGCGATACTGGTTACTGCGCGGAAGTTGAGGCACTATTTCCAGAGCTATGAGGTAGTAGTTTGAACTGATCATCCAATTAGGCAAGTATTACAGAAGCCCTACCTGGCAGGAAGAATGATGAAGTGGTATGTAGAGCTATCAGAGTACGCCATCAAGTATGAGCCCAGAGGAGCAATCAAAGCTCAAGCGCTAGCTGATTTTGTGATGGAGATGACCTCACCTGTTGATGAGGGAAATCCCGGAGAGACACAGTGGATCCAATCAGTGGACGGAGTCTCAAATCTTGGAGGAAGTGGAGCGGGGATCGTCTTGGAAGGTCCGGAAGGAATTTTGTTGGAACAATCATTATGCTTTGAATTCCGAGCAAGCAACAACCAGGCCGAATACGAAGCGTTGTTAGCCGGCATGGCATTGGCGAAGGAGATGGGGGCGACGAGTTTATCAGCTCGAAGTGACTCTCAGCTGATCACAGGGCAGGTAGCTGGAACTTTCCAAGCAAAGGACCCTCAACTGGCTAAGTACTTAGAAAAGGTTAAGCTCTTATCGGAAAATTTCCGAGAGTTTACACTTAACCATGTACTGCGAGAGCAGAATTCGAGAGCAGATCTCCTCTCTAAGTTAGCAAGCACAAAGAAGCCAGGAGCCACTCGGTCGATCATCCAAGAAACCTTAGCTCAGTCGAGTATTAATGAGCCACAAGAGAGTGTTCTTTTCATCCAAGAAGAGCTCGATTCGTGGATGGGACCCTATATTGCATACCTGACTCGGGGGGAGTTGCCAAAGGACAAAAAGGAGGCATCACTGATACAGAGAGAGGCACCCAGGTTTGTAGTCATCAACGAAAGGTTGTATCGAAGGGGTTTCAGCTCTCCCCTTTTGAGATGTTTGACCACGTCACAAACGCAGAGAGTGATGGAAGAAGTGCACGGCAGCATGTGTGGAAGTCATATAGGAGGGCGAGCTCTAGTATACAAAGTTGCGAGGGCAGGGTACTTTTGGCCGACTTTGAGAAACGACTGCGTCAATTGGGTTCAAAAATGTGATGGATGTCAAAGACACGCAACGTTGCACCACTCTCCAGCCGAACGACTCCATTCAATCTTGTCTCCTTGGCCATTCAACAAGTGGGGTATTGATATTCTCGGCCCATTCCCGATCGCGGTGAGACAGTTGAAGTTCTTGATAGTGGCCGTAGACTACTTCAGCAAGTGGATTGAGGCGGAGCCCGTAGCAACCATTTCGGTAGAGAAGGTAAGGACATTTTTATGGAAGAATGTGGTATGCAGATATGGTGTTCCCCAAGTACTCGTATCAGATAACGGGACGCAATTCGCGAGTGGGAGAGTTCGTGATTTCTGTAGGGAGATCGGCATCCGAATGACATTCACTTCCGTTGAACACCCCCAATCTAATGGCCAAGCAGAGTCGGCCAACAATGTTATACTCTCCGAATTGAAGAAGCGCGTCCAAAACTCAGGCACTTCGTGGGTGGAGGAGCTTCCCCGAGTGCTATGGTCATACCACACAACCGTTCATTTGCCGACCCAAGACACCCCTTTCAACCTAGTGTACGGAATGGATGCGATGATCCCGATCGAGATCGCAGAACCCTCAGTGCGTATTACAGGCTTCTCCGAGGAGGAATTCGAACAGGGAAGACGAGTTGATTTGGACTTGATCGCAGAAACAAGAGAGAGAGCAAGGATAAATCAAGTAGCAACGCAGCGAAGGGCAACTTTCAAGTATAACACAAAAGTCATCCCAAGAGACTTCGTGGTAGGAGACCTCGTCTTGAAGCGTGCTCAGCTAACTCAAATGAGGAACAAATTATCACCTAAATGGGTCGGCCCTTATAAAGTTGATGATGTGGTCGGCAAAGAAGCTTACCGATTGAAGACCCTGGACGGAGGGAACATACCGAGAACTTGGAACGCTGCAAACTTGCATTTCTATTATAGCTAGTCTTTTCTATTTGAATTAGGTGCACTCTTTTCCTAACTCAGTATTTTTTCCCCGTAAAAATGAGAGGGGTTTTTGCTGAGAAGGTTTTTAACGAGGCACCACAAACTAATAATTCCTCAATTTTAATAAATATCATCCCCTATTGTTTCTTCTATGATTTCTAACATGTCTTATATTAAAGGCACCAAAACTCGTGATTGATCGGCAAAAGTCCGACTGGGCGAGTATAAATAACTTGAAGACAAACTCGTGATTGATCGGTAAAATTCCGACTGGGCGAGTATAAATAACTCAGACAAAATCGTGATTGATCGGTAAAAATTCGACTAGGCGAGTATAAATAACTCGAAGACAAACTCATGCTTGATCGGTAAAAATCCGACTGGGCGAGTATAAATAACTCGAAGACAAACTCATGCTTGATCGGTAAAAATCCGACTGGGCGAGTATAAATAACTCGAAGACAAACTCATGCTTGATCGGTAAAAATCCGACTGGGCGAGTATAAATAACTCGAAGACAAACTCATGCTTGATCGGTAAAAATCCGACTGGGCGAGTATAAATAACTCGAAGACAAACTCATGCTTGATCGGTAAAAATCCGACTGGGCGAGTATAAATAACTCGAAGACAAACTCGTGATTGATCGGCAAAATTCCAACTGGGCGAGTATAAATAACTCGAAGATGAACTCGTGATTGATCGGCAAAAGTCCGACTGGGCGAGTATAAATAACTTGAAGACAAACTCGTGATTGATCGGTAAAATTCCGACTGGGCGAGTATAAATAACTCAGACAAAATCGTGATTGATCGGTAAAAATTCGACTAGGCGAGTATAAATAACTCGAAGACAAACTCATGCTTGATCGGTAAAAATCCGACTGGGCGAGTATAAATAACTCGAAGACAAACTCGTGATTGATCGGCAAAATTCCAACTGGGCGAGTATAAATAACTCGAAGATGAACTCGTGATTGATCGGCAAAAGTCCGACTGGGCGAGTGTAAATAACTCGAAGACAAAAACTCCCAGACTCAATCGGAAGTGGGACGACACCTAACTCTTCATTAACTGTTAAACACGAATTTCTTCACTCCAATCGGATTAATCGGTAAATAGCCAACCTCTATTTCGGTTATTGATTCTATCAAGCACTACGTTTACATCTTCAAAGCAAAGTTCCAACGGTCATAGTTCAATTTCCTCACTGTCTGCAGTCAGAATTTGGGAGACTTGCTCGGTCCAAATTTAATTTTAAGTTAGAAAATTTTCCACTCTATGTGAGTCGGAATAGGGCCGACTGGCTATTTAAAATTTATTTTTAAATTTGAAAAATTTTCCACTCATTGATGTGAGTCGGAATCTGGCCGACTGGCTATTTGGAATTTCATTTTATGTTATAAAAAAAATTCTATTCATGATACAAGTCGGAATTGGACCGATTTAGCTTCATAAAATTTCATTTTTGACAGAAAATTTAATCGGGATTGGGACGATTGACTCTCTAATTTTCAATTTTAAGTTTGAAAATTTTTCCACTCATTATTGAAGTCGGAATTCAGGCGACTCG